TTCATTAATTTTCCCCTCACTAAGGGTTAAGTGGGAGGCTAGAGCCTATCCCAGCTGACAATGGGCAAGAGGCGACCCTGAACAGGTCACCAGACTATCACAGGGCTGACACATAGAGACAGAAAACCATTCACACTCACATTCACACCTACAGGCAATTTAGATCAAATTAACCTGCATGTCTTTGGACTGTGGGAGGAAGCTGGAGGACCCAGAGAAAACCCACACTGACATGGGGATAACATGCAGACTCTGCACAGAAAGGCTACCCCCACCTTGGGTTCGAACCAGGAGCCCTCTTGCACCACAGTGCCGCCTCTGAATGGCAAAGAATTTAATTTGATTTAAACAGAAACTTTGGCAGACAACAGCCAAATTATCCATCATTTTGGAGCATTAAACTGGCTGCCTAGATTTCACTTTCACCATTTGATTCTCTCTCTGGAAGTCAGTCTGACAATTATGGTTCTTCAATGCCACCCACTGAGGTTGGACTCAGTTATTAAAGCATAATCAAAACCCCAAACCTGTACCTCAATATCTATCTTTAACTAGCTAGGCTTTGTACCAGCAAAGACCAGCCAATAGAAGATGTACAGTTAAGTTTGGGGTCTGGTTACTTATCAGGATGAGTCAGTGCTGCCTCTGTAAAACATCTCACACCTCAACCACATGACGATTTACCAACAGTTCCTTTATTATTACAGTGCATCATAGTAATTTTCTTCCTACTGTATAATTTCTGCTCTTGTAATTATACAGGTCACTGTGCGGACAGAAGCTTTGTGTGTAATATGAATCTGTTCTGCAAACAAACAGATGACCGATCACATGATTTTGCTCCACAGCATTCCTGATGTTTTCCTTTAGTGTAATTTTCAGTATTCATTACACTTCATATTCAACTGCTAAGCACCACAAAAGAGTGTGAATGTGGAAATGTAATTAATTCAACTACAGTTTTAGTCATGCACGCTACTTTAGACATTATTCTTATGAAGTAAATCTTCATTCATAAAACAATTCATCTGAAAACAAGTTGCCATAATAAGAAGTGCATTTAAACTTGCAGGCTATTTAGCATTTTAAAGGCGCTGTATGTAAGAATGATCCGTAAAACAGTTACTGCACTCAAATTAAAAATACTGCTGCGAGTCGTGTCCGCCCCCCCCCCTCCCTTACAGATTCGAGGTTGGTGGACAGCGGTACGCTGGAGACTGATTTGTTTGCCCACAGGCGGCTGCCGTGGCAGCACCGCATCGCCGTGTCTTTGATCTTCAGTTTTCCAGCGGACCATTCGAGCAAGTCCGGCTTCTCTGCTGCTAACGCTGCTGCCGGGATACAGCGGAGGAGACTGCTAATGCTATGTACCGGGACACTACTAATGCTGCTTGCCGTGCTGCTAACATTTGTTTCTCAAAAAAATCAGTCGGGTCGATGACCCACCTGCACATGGGCTACAATGTATGATCAAAAATGAATATGTCCATCCCCGTCTAGCTATGATGCTAGTTAGCCAACTTTGGCTAAAGCTTACCTGTCAAGGAGAAGAGTAGCCACTTCGACATCCGATTTCAAATTCTTCTCCGCTTTCAACCGTCTCCACCGTTCAAAAGCATCTGCTATATAGACCCTAGAAGAATATTCTGGCTGTACTATTGTTGTCGGTGAGATCAGTATGTTATATGAACATTATTCCTTAGTCTCTGTGACATATTAGGATGATTTTATGACTATTTGCTTTAGATTTCTTACACATAGCTCCTTTAAATATATTTTTGGGAGTATTAGAAAATTAAACAGACAGTTTGGATTTTTTTGTAGTGGGGTTCTATGAGGTACCTACAGTATCCTTAGTCAGTACAGTGAACGACTGTCAACACAACTTGATTTTGCCAACGACATTCAGCTCTACATCTCTACCATAGCCATCACTCCTGCCACTCACTCTATCTTCACCAGCTGCATCACTGAAATAAAATCCTGGCTTCAAACCAACTTCCTCAAACTAAACTGTGAAAAATCAGAATTCATTATCATCAGCTCCCAAATCTCTTATCAAATCCACCCATAGCTTTTCCTTCTCCATTGATGCACTGTGCTCACCTCCCGTCATGTCTGTAACCTTGGTGTCATCTTCAATCTAACTCTCTCCTTTGACCAACGTATCAAACACATCCCTAAAACAGCCTTCTTCCATCTCAGAAACACTGCCAGCTTCAGTCCAACCCTCTCTCTTTTTCAGCTGCAGAGACTCTCATTCATACATTCATTACTTCCAGACTAGACGGCTGCAACAGTCTCCTCTACAGTTTGTCATCCACAACTTGCAAGAAACTACAATATATCCAGAATTCAGCTGCTCGTCTTGTCATTACTCCCCACCTTCATTACCTCCACTGGCTCCCCATCTCCCATCGTATCCACTTCTCCTCATTATCACCTATGAAACCCCCCACAGCATGGCTCTCCCTGCCTGTCTGAGCTCCTCCACCGGCACACTCCCTCATGCACTCTCAGGTCTGCTGATGCCAACCTCCTGTTTCCCTCCACCAGGACTAACCACTGCACCTGGGGGGACAGGACATTCTCCATTGCTCCCAACTCTGGAACTCACTCCCTAAATACATCAGAGACTCCCCCTCACTCTCCACCTTCAAGAAATCCCCCAAAACCCACCTCTTCAAAACTGCCTACAACCTCTTAAAAATGGTGTTCTTCTTCTCCCTCCCTGGCTTGTTTCTCTTCTTATTGATTACTTCATTTTTGTTACTTTCTTTTGTTTTGTTGCTCTCTGTAAAGCATCTTTGAGTGTCCAGTAAAGTGCTATATGAATCCTATATGAAGTTTGATGAAAAATAATTACCTTACGTTTTTAGTATGAAAATCCAACTTCAGGAAAATCCAACCCTGTCCTCTGTGTTTCTTTGGCGTGCTTGCGGCAAAGGCTGCAGCTCATCATGGTGGTGTGCGGGTCGTAGGTCAGCCATGACCACGGCTGGCCAGCCTCATCTAGTTTCCATTTTTCAATAAAATGCCGTGCGACATTTGTACTCCGTTTAACTGTGTTCTTCTTGTCCAAGTCCAACATGTTCATCTTCGTTTTTCCTCTTTTCTGGCGGTGACTTCACGGCAGAAATGTGTCAGAAGTTACCATAGAATGCCCAGGGTTCCGGTAGCCGACGTCATGCTTTCCCGGCACACGTACAATAAGCCGTGAGGGTCAAAATAGTCTGACACAGCTGGCAGAAATGGTCGAAGCACATAAAAAACCCATATGCAATTCAAAATTTTCCATCCGCCACTGGCGGGTGTGTGTTTTTGTTTTACACGCCAAACTAATTTTTTTACCCGCCATTGGCGCTTGGCGGGTGTGCCCTGCATTTAACCCACCAAAAACATCAATATTAGTTTAAGCGTACACTATATTTTGAGTGTTTTCACTGTTTTTGCTGTCAGGCGGTCCCTTCCAATGGGGACCTGAACTCACAGTGAAATTTAACAATGCTCTTTCCAAAGCCAGACTCCCCTGACAAAAATAATAATTTTACCTTGCAGAACATGGGAGCTGCTGGTCTACTGCTGCCTTGATTGGTTAGTGTGCTTGTGTTGTTGTGTGGCTTTGGTGTTTTAAAGAATTAGTTTTATTTCACCAAAGTTACACAGTAACTTAACTACGGATCAAGGCTGTGGTACACCAGCAACTTCTTTGTTGCCCCCATCCACAGCAGTATATTGCCTAGCTTCTGTGGTGGTACTCCTGCCTGCTTCTCCAAACTTGGAGACAGCTACTGACTATAGTCATACAACCTCACTTCAAAAATTCCAAACCATCCCTTTAACATGATCACTGAGTACAAATCTAGCTTATAAAAACCACCTACAGGAAGTGGTTTACATTAACAGACAACCTGTCAATGAAACCATGACACAGAAAAGTACAGGGATAAAACATATAACTGGAACTTCCAGAGAAGCAGGAATGCCCCACTGAGTCAGATCTTCAGAATATTTCATATATCACCGTCTTATATGTTTCCTCACTACAACAGCTAAATATGAAACTGTCACGTGAAGAAGACTTCTTTGGACAGTTTAAATATGTCAAATTAAAACTGTGTATTTTCCTAATTGGCTGTTGCCTTGCTTGGAGTCCTTAATGAGACTGAAACACTCACAGAAATGTGATTCTGAGCTCATAAGGAGCATGAGAGCAGACCTCTGCAGCAACCACCTGCTCAGTCCCATAAAATGTAATGTGCACATTACAGCAGGATTGACCTCAACAGTGCAATATTCAGGTTTCTGTGCAGATTTACGTGCATTTATTTGTCTGCCCAATAATGAGTGGTTTACAGCTGGCTTTTACTCGCAATCAACATGCTACTTCCTGTACTGTATTGTCATGAATTGCTTTTACCAGAACTGTTTGCAGACAGTACAGTAGTTAATTACAGCTGAATCGTCATTGCTTGACTTCCTGTAAAGCTCTTTTACTGGTGAAACATTAGTGCACGGCTCAACTGTGCAATGCAAGGAAGATCTGCTCCTTTTTTGGTCACTCCGACAAGAGAGAAATAATGGGCTACAGTGCATCTCTTTTTACTGTGGTTAAATATTGGCTAAAATACTAAAGACACAAGTTATGTGAGGTCAGAAATGGAGAATCTAGCATACAGTTAAATGCTGCTGGGTTTGAGTTGTTTATGCCAGGATTTTTTTTCCTGTGGTTATTCCCAAGCATCTCATTTTAAGATTCAGTACAGATTTAAGGAAAGACGTGGCAAATGTCATCAGATCCCAGGGTAGTAAAAGTTATTTGAGTAAGAAAAAAGAGGAAAAATAGGCTATTTCTTCTAAAGGAGATGGACAGTTTCGTCTTTGCAGGCCTTTTGCATTCTTTGCATAATAATACCCTGTTGTCAAGGAGGGAGGAAGGAAGGAGGGAGGAAACTGTGCTGAAAGAAAGGCTTATCCAGACAGTGTGAAGTGACAGGCTCTGGATTAAGGAAACTAACGGCAGCCTGCAGGAGGGAGCAGCTCTTTCTACTTTGAGAGATCTTTGGACTTTTTTTAGTTTTTATCTTGCTGGGGATGACAGATAAATAAACTGTTGTTGGTTCGATACCAGAATCAATTTTGCGGGGGCGGTATCTATGACTCTAAAGTCTATTTTTTTCTCATGCCACGTTTGAGATCACGCCTGTGATGGGCTGAGCAAATCATCACCCTCCTCCTGCGTACTCAACAGCTGCGGCCAGACCCGAAAAGTTACCGAAGTTGTCTCCGCTTGTTTGCCGGATTGTTTTAATTTGCAGATCCCCTGTGACATCGCCTCCTTCAGCCCTCACCCAGCCTGCTGTCCGCCACCGGCCCGCCCCAGCATGCTGGACTGACGTCTGAGGAATGGCATCGGCTGTGTTTGAAGGCACGTCGCTGGTCAACATGTTTGTCCGGGACTGCTGGGTCAACGGGATCCGGAGACTCATCATCAGCCAGCGGGGGGAGGAAGAGGAGTTCTTCGAGATAAGGACAGAGTGGTCTGACAGGAACATTTTATACTTGCATCGGAGTTATTCCGATCTGGGGCGGCTGTTTAAAAGACTGCTGGAGTCCTTTCCTGAGGACAGAAGAGACCTCTCCAAGTCTCCACTGATAGAAGGTGGGTCTGATGGAAAATATGGCAGGAAGTGACGATACAACATTTAATACAGAACATCACAAGTCATATAACTGTTGCACTTTTAGGGTCAAATTCTCTGCAGGGGCGTAGCTGTAAATTATGGGGCCCTGTGCACAGGAGGTAGCTGGGGCCCCCTCAACAAATCAAGTTTATATAGCACATTTAAAAACACCAAAGTGCTGTACAAACTAAAAGAATGACAAATGTATAGCAATATAAAATGTAACAAATATCAAAACTAGTAAGAACAATTAGGCTACATAAAAAAAGATTACAAAATATTAAAACCACTACAAACAACCAAAGGCCATTGAAAACATGCACGTTTTAAGATCTGACTTAAAAGTGTCAATGGTGGGGGAGCATTTGATTGGTAACGGAAGGCTACTCCAAAGTTTTGGAGCAGCTACCGCTAAGGCACGATCTATCTTACCCCTCAGCATCGATTACGTGACAGTTAAAAGACATTGTTCGGAGGATCGAAGAGGTCGGGAGTTGTAGTAAGGGCGGAGAAGTTCAGCAATATACTTAGTTTAGTTTAGTTTATTGTTTTTCTTGAACAACAAATAAAAAATAAAAATAATAAGTAACAAAATGTCATAAAAAGCACAACGACAAATAAACAGTCTTATCCAGAAAAAAAACAACAACCACAAAATAATGTGTTCGAGAGGGAACAGGAGGAAGCAAAGAGCTTATTTAGTCCTGCCCCTTCTTCACGTTATTATATGTGATACAAATAACAAACAAAAAGAAAAATCAGAAAGATATAAAGTCCTTCATCCCTGACAAAATAATATATAATTACAACAAGAATAAATAAACAAAGTAGTAAGAAAAAAAACTGGGGTGCCAGCCCATGTATGGCTTTAAACACAAATAAAAGAACCTCAAAATCAATCCTGTATTTGATAGGTAGCCAGTGCTTAATTGTTAGGATTGGTGTAATGCTGTCTCTTTTTCTGGCACCAGTGAGCACTATCTATCTATTTATCTGCACTACTATTTTTTCTCATACTGCAACTAATGACTAAGAAACCAAAACTAGCAAATATTTGGCATTTTTGCTTGATAAAAGAATATTATTATTGTAGACTGGGTTTCTCCTGATTGACTGATAGCTCAGTACTAAAGTCTCTTCCACGTTGCCACAACATAAATGCACCTTTACACAGCAACTATCATTACAAATAATTTTTCATCCCTGACTCCAGGTTCTGCAAACCATGAATATGTTATGTTTGCGTCTTTTTATACATATCATATCAACATTTTTAAAGTGATGTTGTATATGAGCTGATTTTGTCATCTGATGGGATGGTGGATGGTGGATGGGGCGCAGACCCCTGTTTAAGATCAATAAACCACAAAAAAGGTTGTGATTTTTCGAGTCATTGCTCTTTGCAGTGGCCTTTAGGCATGAAAAACATCTGTTTTATTATTTAGATATTTTCTGAGGGTTCTTGCCTTTATTTGTTTGGGCAGTTATAGCATGAAAGGGGGGAAAGAGAGGGTGGAGGACAGGCAACAAAAGGCCCATGGGTTGGAATCAAACCCACAGCCAATACAGCCTTTGTACATGGGGTGCCTGCTGCTCTACCAAGTAGTGGGCACCCCAGTGTCTGTGTTTTTATGGAGACATTGCTACTTTTCCTGCTGGGATAGTGGCACTGAGAGTGGTTGTGTTGTTGCAGAGACATCGCTGTTTTTTTGTGCCAGGATTATGTCCCCCAAACCTTGTATTTTAAGTCAAAACATTATCTTTACCCAACCATAACCAAGTGGTTTTTGTGCATAAACATAACCACACATTAACCACAGCATTGTAAGGTAAAGTTTCAGTGTATCTGCTGAATAATAATGTGGAAATGTGACATGTCCGTAGTTTGCAGAAACCTACAATGCAACATTTTCTCTGGTGAATGGGTTGCAAGTTTTGGGCTTGTTGGACAGTTTGGGTTTTGCATATTTGGCATTAAAAGACCAGGAAAATTTCCCCTAACACTGGATTATTGCTGGAGAGGAAAACTGCTTCTGCCTGCACAGGAAAATCACTGCGAAATAATATTCTTGTTTACATTTTGGCTCAGGGACTGTAGTACAACAACTGCTGTTTTGTGCTTTTGCGAAAGTTTTTTTTCTCCCCATTTTTGTGGTTTAAAGTCAGACCCCATACTTAACCAGCTGTGTGACGTATAACTATTAAACTGAGAACCATAAGGTTATCTTATTTCCAGGCACCTAAACTTTGGATCCTATAGGTTGATGGTCCTATTAGACATCACTTGAATACAAGGTTTAATTACTAACGTTATTTGATTTATATGTTAAGGCTGCAGAATAAAAGAAAGAAAGAAAACAAAGTCAATATTTAAAAATGGTTTTTGGATAATCTGAACTAAACAAATATATTTGCGTGTTTTTGTTTGAGCAGGTTAATATTTAACAAAGTCCACTTTCAGGTGTCACATTAGCAGATCTATCACATAGCCTTGAGACCACAAGACCAACATGGTGACAGCATGTTTTTTCTCCTGGTCAATATTTCAGAGCTAAAAGGCCGTTAGCTCTGTGAGGTCTGCTTCCTCCTCTTTGTGACCTATACGTTGGATTTCCCATGGGAGAATACCAAAAGTACCAATGCTGACTTCCTTGTGGAAATTTGCTCTCTGCATCTGACGCATCATAATTCTTCAGGAGGAGGTGATGTTACTGGGCTGTTGGAGCAGCTATTATCTGGTGCTCAGGAACAAACCCCGGTTCTGCTTTGATCAAAGGCAACAGCAGATGTATTCTATCTGATGCAAGTCTGTGGTGTGGGAGTGAACCCAAACAAACACAAGGAGAGCTTTAAACTCTGCTGAGAAAAGACCAAGGCTGCGCCACACACTGTACGAGCCCAGCTGCGAAGTGACAGTTCTTGGTGCTGTCCCCCCCCAAAAGTTAATCAAGTGATAGATACATCCTGTGTGTATGTGGCAAAAGAAATATTTAGATTTCTTCAAGTATTTTTTAGCAATAGGGCAAAATCGGACAGAAATCTGCAAATTCTGTTGTACTCAGAGCGAATGAAACATGAATTAACCATACAGAAATAATAACTTAATTGAAATATTGATTATCTATGATAAGGTACCATGGCTTCTTCTACAGCAACGTTTTAGGCAGAGCTTTGTAGAGGGCAGCCTTTAGGCATAAGAAGCCCAAACCTGTTGCCCTCATGGTTTGGATCTTTGACACTGTGGTGCTGTGGCACTGCCAACAGGCTTGGCAGAGCTCCCAGCTTGTTCTTGTTCCTTGGCACCCCCCTTTTGTCTCTACTCACTGAGCCTATATGAATATTTTGGAAACATCCCTTTAGTGGCGACTGGAAAGCTTCGCTTCCTGCCCCTGCACTGAAATAGCTGACGAGCTTGTTGACAGCTCGCTGCTCTGCCGCTGCCAGTGCAGTCTGCAGTGCATTTTGGGAAGAGACGTGTCTGATCTCATGACTCACTTTTCACTTCTATTTTTTACTGTCTGTCACCCCTCATGTCCTGATTATGGCTCGAAGATAAATGGAGCTGTGATATCGCTGCTGAGGGAGACATCAGTGTTACTTTAGTGACTCAGGCTGGTTTGACAATTTCATGGATGGATAGAAAGCCACGGGGTTAATAACATCCCCCTAATGGCCTTTCCTTAATTCCTACCTCTGTTCAATATTTCATTTTCATCTCTTCTAACTGCAAGATTGAAAGTCGCCGTGAAAAAATGCAGCTCTGGCCTTTCTCACTCCACTTTGCTCCAGTTTCTGGCTCCCCTCATGTTTTCCTGTGTCTGTGCTGCGTCCAAGCAACAAGGAAGGCGTGCAGAGCGTTCAGACTGATGTCATGATCTGACAGAGGAGAGAGGGAGGAGTGGACTTCCCATATTTAGTCCCTGTGGTCTGTTAAAGCCCTTAACACTTACCTTACATGTGACCCCAGAGTGAACGGAGACAGGAAGTGATGGCTCACATTCCTTGTGAGACAGATTTCACAAGGAATTTAGACATGCGTTGTGTCCGAAATCACTCCCTCTTACACTCATCTGCTACCACCTACATGAGAAATACTTAACAGTTTACTCTTTGACACTTATGAATCATCATTTCAGTTGATTATCATAGAGCTGGGCATTTTTTTTGTAGTGTAGTGTAGTGTAGTTGTTGAGAGAATCATGGAATACATTTATAGTACGTACTTAAAGGGTGTTGTAACGATTTAATGGTCACTTAACATTCTTGGCTCTGATTTGCTGACAGGCGTCTAAATTAGTGCCGGTATTAAAGGAATAATTTGATATTTTTGTAAATTTACTTTTTGTGCTTTCTTGCTGAAAGTTAAATGAAAAAACTGAAACCACTTTCACATCACGCTGTTAAATATGAAGCTACTGCCAGCAGCTGGTTAGCTTAGCTTAGCATAAAGACTGGAAACAGGGGGAAACAGTTAGCCTGGCTCTGCCTGGAAGTAACAAAATACATTTACCAGCATCTCTAAAGCTCACCAGTGTACTTGTTATCCTTAACACTCCAGAAGCTTACTGTGCCTGGCCAAGAAATAGTCTGTCAAATAAACTTCTGTAAAACTGCAACATGGCATTTTTACACAGTTTTAGTACGGTTTTATGCTAAGGTCAGCTAACTGACTGCTGGCTATAGCCTTACAGTGAACTAAGGGCCCTGATACACCTAGCTGACGGTCAGCAGTTGGTTTTTCGTCCAATTCATCATGTTGAATCAGCATGGGAGAAAGCTGAGCCTGTCATTTAGTGAAAACACTCTGATTGGAAATTTAGATCAGCATATGACAAGAGGAACAGAAGTGAGGAAAGCAAACAAATGACTAAGGTCAAGAGGGCATATGATCAAAACAAACTTGTTATATTAGGTAAGATTTTTTTTTTTTTTTATCCGTAGAGCTCTTTAGCAGAAATGGTCTGTAATTGTTTGTGCT